CCCACCCGAGCTTCGTCAGCACCCTAGAACAAAAATGGATTTTCCGTTGGATTATTTTTTCATTACATGATCTCATAGGGCAGATGCTCGCCGTTAGCGTAGGACCCCCCCCTACCCAACGTGCACAGAATACAAAATAATACTCCCTCCTTTTTGTGTTTGGTTTGGTTTGGTTTTCGTTATCCAAGAGCTGTGTTGCATGTTTCCGTGGCCTTCACATAGGTGTGGTGTGTTTCCCATCGCGCCTCATCGGCGTCGATGGATTCAAGGGGTTTGCCTTTTTTATAGGAAAGACTCCATGGAATTCTCTGAAACCTAGAGTAAGGGTATTGAATAAAATGAATCCACCAAAAGGGTCCCTACAACGTACGTCAAGAAAGGGTTGAAAAGAATATCCGACAACGAGTGATCCTTTTTGGTACATTCCTATTTCTATACCTGTATTCGCATGCCACAGTCACTTTTGCTTGCCTTATCACGGTTAAAATACAGAGGCGTATTTGATTTTAACTACTTTTTATTCATTTAAAAGGAGATTAAACGGGTTCACTTTGAATTCTACGCACCAACGACTCCAGCAGCCTCCTCGAGGCACCCCCGGATCCCACTCGGTCCGGAAATGCTCGCGTGAGCCACCCAATAATCGCCGCCCAATCCGCAAACAGCGATCGAATCGACGTGGTTTCCCCATCCATCCGCTGCGCCCAACGCGCGGCGGCAACGCAGCCGTTCGCGATCGCGTCGATCAACGTCGGATCCCACGCCTCCCCCGTGGCGGTTGCCGGGGCGGGCGACCAAACGACCCCCCCGTCGCGCTCCCGCATCGCGAGGTAAAACCCCACCACCCGCGCGAGGCTCCGCAGCAGGGCGACGGCCTCCACCCCCGCCGACGCGGGCGATCCCGGGGTCGGGCGAAACCCCGGCAGCCCCGCCGCGACCACCACGCGAATCGCCGCGGCGGCGTCGCCCGTCGAAAGCCCCCCGGTCGACGCGCCAAACGCCGCCACCCCGGCGAGGGCGTTG